CGGAGGCAAAGCTTTTTCTCTTATTTTAAGTGCTTTTTCGTAAAATTTCAGTGCTTTCGAGTAGTCACCCATGTTCTTATACACTAGACCGATGTTGTTGTAGGAAAGAGCCAAATCGGGATGATTCGGAGGCAGAGCTTTTTCTCTTATTTTATGTGCTTTTTCGTAAAATTCCAGTGCTTTCGAGTAATCACCCATGGCGTTATACACTGTACCGATGTTGTTGTAGGAAGTAGCCAAATCGGGATGATTTGGAGGCAGAGCTTTTTCTTTTATTTTATGTGCTTTTTCGTAAAATTCCAGTGCTTTCGAGTAATCACCCATATTGTTATACACTTGACCGATGTTGTTGTAGGAAAGAGCCAAATCGGGATGATTTGGAGGAAGAGCTTTTTCTTTTATTTGATGTGCTTTTTCGTAAAATTCCAGTGCTTTCGAGTAATCACCCATATTGTTATACACTTGACCGATGTTGTTGTAGGAAAGAGCCAAATCAGGATGATTCGGAGGCAGAGCTTTTTTTGTGATTTCTAGATGTTTTTCGTAAAATTCCAGTGCTTTGGAGTAGTCACCCATGTTGTCATACACTCCACCGATGTTGTTGTAGGAAAGAGCCAAATCGGGATGATTTGGAGGAAGAGCTTTTTCTTTTATTTGATGTGCTTTCTCGTAAAATTCCAGTGCTTTCGAGTAATCACCCATCTTGTAATACACTGTACCGATGTTGTTGTACGAAGTAGCCAAATCGGGATGATTCGGAGGCAGAGCTTTTTCGAATATTTCATGTGCTTTTTCGTAAAAATCCAGTGCTTTCGAGTAGTCACCCATGTTGTTATACACTAGACCGATGTTGTTGTAGGTAGCAGCCAATGAAGGATGATCTTCTGGGAGAGCTTTTCGTTCGATTTTGAGAGATGTCTCATAATATGAAGCTGCTTCTTTGTATTGTCCTTGGTCATTTTTCAACAATCCAAGTTGATGATAAAGATGTGCTTTATCGCTGTCGTCCGATGCCTGTTCTAGTAATGTGGTATACAATTCCTCGGCCTTGTCGAATTGACCTATTTGGAGCAGCAATTTCCCCATTCGATGCCATCCAGTGCTACCTGACGTTTCTTTTGCTATAATTTTGGTTAACTGACGTAGTTGTTGATCATCATCTGCTGTAAGTTTAAGGTCCACTTCATAAAGTGGACTTTTCTTGTCAATTTTTCGAACTTCACCAATTCGAAAGACTGTGTGCATCGAGAAGAGAATTTCATCTTCTTGTGCGAAATCACTCAGCTCTCGAATCGAAGCGAATGGAGTTGATGACTCTGTGGGATCGATGGGCATTTGGAAAAGAACACCAACCGTATCTGTTGTTCCTAAGGCATCCTTGGCGAACCCGAGAGAGATATTTCGATTTTTACTGGTCGATAAAAAGTTATTAAACGAAATAAGTCCACCTTTGTTTTTAGTGATTTTTTCGAAATCTGCCGTCAGTAATCCTTGCCCCCGATAAAGTAAAAGTGTCTTACCATGATATTTATTGATTTGTTTGCTATGTAAATTTTCAATTTGTCGATGGACATCACATAAATAAAATCCCATTCGGATAATAATATCTCCATCGAGCGTTCGTAATGCTCGATTGAGCATTTTATATGTGAAACATTCGCGAGTATACCACCATATCGCGAATGTTGCATGATAAGTACGCTGGAATTCATCAATAAGTTTGAGTTCATTTTTGTTACCTTCGTATTGTTCTTGACAAAACTTGACTAAATCTTCCATGGCTTGTTGGTCATGATTCATATCAAGGAGTATTTCCTTGAAGATTTGCGTGTACATGAACGATGGTTCTAGCTGATTGAGATCTTCGCTAGAACCACCTGCATCGGCACTAATTATACTGACCATTGTATTATTTTGATTGCATTGCTTGACAGCTATTTGCAATGCATTGCATATGGATTTGATTGTTTTGTGGACGCCTTTAATTTTTGTCCAATGTTGAGCCCATTCTCGATGAAATTCCTTGTTACGACAAAATATGTATATCATATCAAGGTTTCGCATTCCATGGATATTTGGTACAAGAACTTGTCCAAGTGAGCCAGAGGAAATAACAAATGATGTCTCCTCCTTGTTGTCATTCAGGAATCGAATGCATTCTTCTGGTGTAATGCAAATCTTTACTTCATTGACAACACCTCGCAATTGCGAGAGTGTATGTTGAAAATCTTCATTTTCCATATTTATGTTGGCGTCGACCCATATGACTAAATAGTTTTCAGCCATACGTTGTCTTCGTTGTTGATTCATTTTCGATGTAATATTTAATAAGCTGTGTGGACAAAATTTACCTTTTATATTTATACATTCGATGCACGTTGTTTTTTTTCTAGATTTTTCTACGATATCAAATGTGAATATTTTGTTTTTTTCGTTGATTGTCAATAACAATCTATGCCTAGTATCAATCGAAGGTATACTTGTCAAAAAACAAATTAAAGG